GTGTGCATATATCTGCTTGGATGTCAGTTATGGTCTCTTTGGGATATATACCCAGTAGTGGAATTGCTGGGTCAAATGGTATCTCTATTTGCAACTTTTTGAGAAAGTGCCTTCCACAGTGGTTGCACCTTCTTTTTTTTTTTTTTTAGTTTTTGTTATTTTGTGTTTGTGTACATCAAATCAGATCTGACTGGTACAGGAGGAGATTGCCCCTCCATCTCCAGCAGAGCCTCTGGTGGATTTGACAAAATTAATTAATCTTAATGAAAGTTTACAGAGACTTTGGATTTCCATTCATTCATTGTCACACTTTCCCCTCCTGCCCCACCTCCCCTCTAGTTCTCTCTTCTCTTTGAAAAGTAAAAGAAAAATTCTTTCATTGTTTCACAATCCCTCCCCCCAAGTCCACTCCACTATGCAGCCTTAGTTCTGGACTCCTGGAGTAGCTGGATTTTTTTTTTAATTTGTTTTGTTTCTTTTTGTCTAGTAAGGTAGAAGTTTAAATGTTCATGAGGCTGTTGTGTGACAGTCCACTCAAGTATTAGGCGCTGTGATATATCTCACTTTGGTTCAGTGCTTAAGTTCCTATGAAATATGTCAAAAATTGTGTCAAAAGGCCTTTATAAAACAACCACAGGTATGATTGCAATAACTTAACCCTCTGTTTGGTATTCTTTTTTCTCCACATAAACTCAGCCTTGCTTAAGTAGATCTCCTAAGTGGGGCATATGTTGAGGATCTGGGATCTCTGGTGGCTTAGTGGCAAAAAGCTGTACTGCAATCCCAGAGGCGCATGGTTCGAATCTCTGCTGGATAAGGAGGGGCAATCCCCTCCTGTACCAGTCAGATCAGATCCCATTTGATGGTACAGACACACAAAAAAATAAAAACATTTCAAAAAAAATATATTCAGGATCTAACGGGAGGTGGTAATCATAGGTTGCACACTTTGATGGGTGGAGGGCGGGGTGGGTTAAGGCATTGGGAAAGATCTGGTGTGAAAAACAATGTACTCAGACTTTGTGAGTAAACCATTATTTACATATATGTTCAGGAGATTTCATATACCTTTATTCATTCTCACAACGTTAAGTTTACAGTCACCTGTGTTATAAAAGTGGGAAGGGAGTGTTCTCTTTCCCTTAACAACGTTGTTTTTAACAGTAAGCTTTTGAGAAGCCCTAATCTTGAGTCACGATTTTAGGGGAATAATTCCATTAGGTTCACTCATTCACCCTCACTGTGTGAGTCAGAGTCTCCTAGCTGGCCCTGCACTCATGTTCCAAGCCTCCTTCACGTGGGAGGTGATAACCCCTCTTTTTCCTGGGCAGACACAGGTACATTAGAACTGTGAGAGAGTAACTTTGGGGACAGCTGCCCCCTACAAACTGAGCTACTGAAGGTGCCTAGTTCATGTTCAGGAGACTTTCATGTACGAGTGTGCTTGGTCCGTGTGGAGCATGACTTCAGAGACACAACCACTGTCCTCACGATGCTTGTTGGTTTTCTCAGTCTTATGTTGTTACCGTGTTATGTACCATCAAGTTAAAACTGACTCATAACTCACCATCCAGCAGCTTTTCAGAGGCTGTAAATCACACGGGAGGAGAGTGCCCATCTTTTGTCCAGGGAACAGTTAGTTGAAGGATTCGAACTGCTTACCTTGTGGTTGGCAACGCGGCATGTTACCCTAAGGCCACCAGAGCCCCCTATTCTTAGGTAGACTAAGCCTGAGAATTGTTTCTATTCTCCATATGATGTGAGTCTCTGTATATGGGATTAATCCCGTAACCACTCAGAGCTTCAGTGGGGATAGTCGTTATCTGCTCTCACCTTCCCCGCAGGGACGTTGTGAAGATAAATGGTAGATGTTTGAAAGCACTTAGGGCCTTTAAAGAAGTAAGATTCCCTCTAAAGCCAGGCAGGGTTCTGTCATACTTGTCAGTGGAAGGACAGTGCTGTGGTGTCTGTAGTGTCAAAAAGTTGTCCTCCAAGGTCTCAGAAGGGAAGGAGTTTTCCAGTTTTACTTTTCTCAGTATTATTTATACAATCAAGTTCTCCACATCTGACAGCTATGTTTCTGCTACTTGAATACTAGAAGCTTCACCTGTATTTCAATTAGAGGAGAACAATCTGATGAAACAAGTTCTTTTTCTGATGAAGACGATTAGTCAGGGATAGGGGACATACTTCCCCCTTGATGCTGTGTCATCTGCCTTTCTCCCTCCCACCCCCTTCACCCCTCATCCCCAAAGTCATGAGGAACATCTACAGGCTGAAGCTTTTTGTTGTTAAATGCCGTTGAGTCAAGTATGACTCATAGCGACCCTGTGATAAATGAATCCCCAAACTGCCCTATCCTGTGCCCAACTTCAAGCATCTCCGGCACATTTGAGCCTATTGATTCAGACGCTGGGTCAGTTACTCTTGACGGTCATCTTCTCATACTCCGACCCTTCAACTTTGTAAGCATGGTGTCCTTCTCCAAGGACTGGCCCCTTCAAACAGCATGCTTATAAGAAAAACCTGTTTGTTCTCTTGGCAGTCCATGGAATAGTAGTACTTTTCTCCAACACCACAACTTAAAGGCATTGATTCTACTGTCATCCTTAGCCATTGTCCAACTTTGAGATGTGTAGCAAGCAACTGAGAAGACAATGGCCTGGATAAGGCACACCTTAGTTTGTAAGCAGACTATCTAGTTAGTTGCGCTAGTTAGTACTCTGGAGAGATCTTTGAGAGCTCATTTACCCAGTGTGACTCAGCTTTTGTATTCTTGATTGCTGGTACCAAGAGTATTATTGATCCATACAAGATGAAATTGTTGACAACTTCAGTCTCTTCTCCATCTGTTATAATGCCAGCTATTCGCCCGGTGATTACTTTTTCCCCCTTAGTTTTGAGAGGTAATCCATATTGAAGGCTGTAGTGTTCGATCTTCTGCAGCAAGCACTTCAAGTCCTCCTCACTTTCAGCGAGCAGCGTTGTTATGTGCATAAAAACAGGTCGTTAATGAGTCTCCAATCCTGAGGCTACATTCTTCTTCATAAAATCCAGCCTCTCAAATGATTTGCTCGGCACACACACTGAACAGGTGTGGAGAAAGGTGACAGCCCTGATACACATCTTTTTTTTTTTTTTAAATTATAAACCATGCAAGCGCTTGCTCTGTTCATATGACTGCCTATATGTTTTGCACGAACACAACGAAGTGTTCAGGGATTCCCATTCTTCTCAGTGGCAGCCATAATTTGTTGTGATCCATATAGTCAAATGTCCTTGTTGTGATTGTCGTTAAGTGCTGTTGAGTTGTAGATGACTCATAGTGACCCTATGAACGAAAGATCTGAACACTTCTATAACTTTCATTATTTCTCCAAGTTCATAGGGAGGCAAGCTGTTTTCGGAAGTGAGTGCCACTCCTGCTATTTAATTGGAGAGCTCCACCAAACACTGTCCACCATGGGTAACCATTATTGCATTTGACACATCAGTGTCACAGTGTTCAGCTTCACAGCCACCACGAGTTACCTCTGTTCAGCAAATGGACAGACAAGTGCTATACCCCTTAGAAGAATATTTGACCAATCCGCTTGCTCCAGACGACTTCCCAGCCTGAATTCCAGCCCCAAATATCTTTACCTAGTTAATAAAACACTGATAGACATACTTTTGGTAGTCTTTGCTTCCAGCCAAGATCCATCTGGCATCCAGCGATGATAGCGTTGATGTCATGTCCTCTTGAATTTCTAGTTATTTTAAAATAAACTTTAACAAGAGTTTGCTTGAAGGTGATATGATGTTGTTTGATAATGTCTGTACTCTTCTGAATCATCTTTTTTAAAAAATAAAAATTGACAACAGATTTGGATTTCCTTCAGACCACATTTTACCGATTTCTTGGTGAAAGACTTCAGAGTTCAGCCTGATAAGTGCATCGAGCGCTGTATCTTTTTATAGGAATATGCCAACTGGTATTCTGTCATTTTCTAAGGCCTTATTTTTTGCCAATGCCTTTAAGGCAGTTTAAACTTCTTCATTACCATTAGTTCTTGGTCATACGCTATTTTCTGAAATGGTTCCATGTCAGTTCTTTTGGGTACAATAACTGTAGTCCTTCCACTTTTGATGATTCCTGGATCATCCAAGCTATTGAGTTAATCATATGGATGTCTAATGCAAGTCACTCAGTTTGATTATTTTTTTTCTGCTCAGCGTCTCCTCTTTTAACAATTCAAAACATTTGCAAAATTCCCTCATTAATGTTTTATGTTGCTTAAGGAACATGCTTTCATTAACACTGATAATCTCTTATTTTTTAAAAAATAATTATTGAAAACAAGATCTCCTAATTATTTCATCTCTTGAAGTTTGAAAGGAAAAAATTGGAGTTAGTTTGCTTCTGGGTGAAAGGTTTTCTGAGTTAGTCACTTACAGATTTTACTTAGCATGCCGTTGACCGTATTCTTTCGGAGAATAAAATTTTGCTTCTCTTATCTCTGGTAAAGTGAGGTTACACAATGTGAAGAGTTAAGATTGTGAAAAGTTAAGGGACTCCTTGGCAGCTCTGTTTTAAGGTCAAGACGAAGTCTGTCTAGACTTCAGGAGTTTGTGTATCTTGTAGACTTACTCTGTTGATGTTGTGTGTCATTGGGTCAGAGTCCACCCATAGCTGAGCCCCTAACAGGTTTCTAGAGGCAGCAAATCACCATTGCCCATCCTTCTCCTGCAGACTAGGGGTGGATTTGAACCACATGTCTTTAGGATTGCAGTGCAGCTTCTTATCACTATGTCACCAGAGCATCTAAATGAGAATATAAAGACATTTTATCATTATTGTTTGATAATATAAAGATATTTTTTCATGACTTTTTAAATAAAATTATGTCATTTCCCATGGTGTCCTTGGCCCAGGTGTCTCAAAACAGGGATATAGCACAGAACCCTGAAGCAGTTCCTGAAGGAAAAGAAGAAACCAAGCCTTATCCTCCCACCCAGAACGGGCCAGGACTTCAGACCCCAGCCCAGCTGAACCAGCGCGGAGTGGAGCCCAGAGAGGCCGAGGTCCAGCGGGCGGAGGAGGAGCACAGGAAGGCCCTGGAGGAGGAGGAGATGGAGCAGGTCGGGCAAGCGGAGCGTCTGGAAGAGGAACACGATCCGTCGCCCGAAGAGCAGGAGCCGGAGTGGAAGGAGCAGCGGGAGCCAGACAAAGAAGCCAGGCCTCTGGA